GCTAGTGGAATCCAAACCAAGCTTCTTCTGAATATGGAGTTGAAATTCGCCTCGGAGATATTCTTGAATGTCATGAGATCATTCGTCTCGATGCGCTTCCAGCCAACTACCCGCAACATTCGTGTGACGTAACCATATGGCTTGCGTGCAGCCAGGTCATCTGCGCTCACCATCTTTTTGTAGAGATCTTCTCGAAAGGGACGATTGCTCTCTGGCTTCTCTTGTGCAGTGATAATGCAGGCAGAAGAAAACTGCTCCAACTGCTTTCGAAGTTCATCTTCATTATGCCATAGGTTCGGGTCAATGAAGGCATGGTTGTGTCTGTACACGGCGGCCAGATGACTGCTGTATAGACCTTGTCCGGCACCTCCGCCACTTTCCCCAATAAAGCATCTGTCAATGTTCTCCCCACGCTTGGCGAGGGCGATGGCTGCCTGACAACATTGAAAGAACTCCGAGTTGCACCAAAAGGTTTGTTCGTAGAACTTCTCGAGACGACTGCGTGCACCTTCGAGCACAGGATCGCGAAGGGGATGCGGTATCCGCATGTAGAGATTGTTTGCAGGCGAAGGTAAAGCGAAAGTGCAGAGTTCGTTCGGGCCACGATCGTACAGAATGCAGCAGTCTGCAAAGGCACAGCCAGCCTCACGTTCCGACGGAGTGTCGCACCATTCAACGACCAGACGCAGCAAAGACCTTTCTTCGAGTAGACCTTTCTGCATAGGTCCGCTAATCTTGGAGATCATCTCAGCAATGGCCAGGGGCCACCCGCTGCCGTGTGGCCTTTGCCCATCAGCCTCTTGACGCTCACGACCACCTCTGCTGCGACCAGAGTGCAGAGAGAGCACGGAGCTGTCCATGCATTCGTTGATGTACTCTGGGATGTTGTTGAACTCACGCAGACATGCGTCGATCCCACCTATGACTGCACCGTCAGTCCTCTCCGTGTCCGAGGGTAGCAGTCTGAAGATACCTTCCAAGGCGAGCAGGAACGGCTTGATACGGGTAAAGGTAGACTCAGGCGGAACACCCGACAATGCTTCGAAGGCACCGCGCTCGTGGTACAAGTAGCAGACACCTCCGTGCGATCTCAGGAAATGCCCTCCTTCCATCACCCACAGGAGAGCGACGTGATCCCGAATGAAAAGGTCTGTGTATCTTGTGCGGTAAACCGTCAGAGCTGCAGCAGCGAGACGGACCATTTGATCCGGCCATCCTGCCTGCAGGGAACGAACATACTGGAACAGCTGGTTCGTATGTTGTAGAATTGTTCGCGGCGCCGACCCGGGCTCCACCCCCGGCAAGCCTTCCATGAAGGCACGGCTCGCATCAGCTGCTTTGTGGAAATGAGCGCGGAATAATGTTGCCGTTTGCTGCGCAGCCTCTGTTTGTCTTCGTTTCTTGGTCCCTTCGTGAGCATCGAACAGGACCACGGGCATGGCTTCTTCAGCAGCAGGCTGAGATGTCGTCACGTCAAACTCGACGGCCATTGCCAAAGCAGATTGGCTGTCCACTGCAGCTGAGCCGTCGACACCCGCTGCGGCTTCGTTGCTGAGATCATTGCGTCTCTTCTCCATAACTGCATCGACGAGATCTTGCATGTTCGGCACAATGTCCGTGAAACCATCCGGGAAAAACTGCGGGTGTGCGCAGAACACAACCATTTCCTTCACCTTGACGGAGTAGTGATTCTCTAGAATCCATTTGTACATGTTGAGCTGTAGACGATAGTGTTGGCCTTGAGCATCTTGCAACTCGCCGAGGGGATGCTTCATGCAGTTCGGGGAAGCATACTTTGACGCTAGCTTTTCGCTTCTCTTCCAATCGATCAAGATCAAGCCATCATCTTCAGGATCTTGCAGAACGAAGTCTATGGAACCTGCAACATCCTCTTCCTTGGCATAGACTGTCCACTCTGTCCTGTAGGCAACGCAATGCTTGTACTTTTTCAAGAAGTTGACTGCCATGGACAGTTCTCGGGACATGGACTTAGGCACGACATGAAAGCCATTGAGCATGTGTTCGAACAAGATGTGCATCCAGGTGCCAGCCTTTGCTGCGCAGTCTCGCTTCGTCTGCCAGTAGTCGAGGATTTCCTGGTCAGACATCGTGACCAAGCTTAGGATTTCTGTCCAAACCTCCGCTAGGCCGTTCTGCGCTCGTAGCAAGTCTGCACATAGGTCTGAAGCATCGGGAGTAGAATCTTGAAGCAACTTCGCAAGACCTTGTGTTTCCGGGCAGTCAGCTCTCTGAAGGAGAAGCAGCAGCGCATCTCGGTTAATATCTGGTCGGATGTACTCCGGCCGCGGCCATCTGGTGCCACATTTCATCTTGATTAGTGCGGCGTCCGCATCAAACTCCTCCGAGAATTGGTGTATGAGACCCGTTACCTCACCGAGACAGTGTTGCTCATGCTTCACTTTTACAGATAAGACTATTCCTTAGGAAGAAAAACCACTCGCCTTGACAGAAGCTCCAATGCGGCCAGGAAGCACTGATGCTGACCGGATTACCGTCGCAGAAGTATCTGTGCCCTTCTGTCTGGAAGCTCAGGCGTGCATCCATCTCCACTTTGTTGGCCTCTCGCAGCGGGGTGCATGGAAGAACCCGGTCGGGACTGTCCTGCTCTGGCTTGCTCGTCATGACGAAAATTGGACCACTGGACGATAACATTCCAAGTGATCTTCCAACGATTTGTGGCAGTGGGTCCGTCCAGCCAGCAGCAAAGAATGACCCTTCTAACCCTTCCTGCGAACTGCCACCACTTTGCTCTTGCCACGCATCAGAACGATCACGCTCCTGCCCTGCTAAGGTCAGATGTACGCGAAGGGCGATCCTCAGAGCCTTGCGGCGCCACCCTTGTGCCTCCTCAGGCGAGCACGTCAGTGGGTGAGGCAAATCTTGAAGCAGTACACCCACGCTGGAACATTGACTTGTTTCCGCATGTAAGTACATGAAGAGCATGTAGTCCATCTCCTGTTCCAGGAAATCAACAATCACTCGTCCACGATACAGAAGCTTCTCCCATCTGCGCTTACTCATGACAGTACGTTGCGTTGGATCCGGTAAGAAAAGCAGTGCTGCTGGATTCACGCGGAAAAGTTCTGCATGCCTGCGAAGCAGCTCCAACACTACTTGAGAGGGCTTGTCACGCGAGTGTGTCGCACAGCCAAGCAGGGTGGCCCGGTGAAAATTGGTTGCAGCGACATAAGGCATTGGGTTGGTGGCTGGACCAAAACCAATGTCGTCGACGATGTCGCATCCCGACGAAGAGCCACCCATATAGTCTGAGAAGTGACCGCCGCAATGAAGGCAGTTTCGCCACGGAGTCGTTCCGACATGGCGCGAGCAGATCCAGGTACAACACTCAGGACACACAGACCACCGTGGTTGCATCAATGTACCAGAATGATTACAAACAGGACACTCGAGCCGTGCGTTCAGTTGGATGAGAGATGGTAGTTCCTGAAGCCAAGCTGCTTCATTTTCTGGCCCTGGCCTTGTAAAAATCCAAATGAAAAGCTTGGAAAGGCAAGGTGCGGTGTCTGGAACATGATCACGAAGCCGAGCAGTTGAAACTCCCTCTCCATTCATGGAAAGGGAAAAGATTCTTTCGTTCCATCGCAAACGATACCGGACTGGCACATTGGGAAGAATCTCTGGCCTGTTTCTCTTGAAGTGCGGCTGTGGAGGAGATCCAGTCAAACCGAAGGAGAAAGTACAGCTCTCTTTAAACAGATTGTCGATGCGACAATAGGAGCGCCGGGTACCGTGGTGTTCGTGAACACCAATGTATACTCCGATAGCTTTTGAAGGCAGGCTCAGGTCAAAAGCAGCACCTCCCATGAGCGGCTGCGAGGAATGAAAACCACCCATAAGGCTGCCCGGCCCTGAGCCTGGTTGTGGCCGCACACCAATAGCGCTCCATTCCACATAGGCATTGCCGGGCACAGTGATAAACATGGCAAGCTGTCGTACGTTCACGATAGTGGCACGTGCTGCGCTGTACATATCACTCATAGCTCGAAGCGTAGGAACATCATGGAACTCAGCGTTGTTCAGAGGGATCACTCGATCCTTCCATTGGTCGTGATTTTGTACTGCGGCATGCATCGTTTTTGACGCTGTTGCCAAGGCCTGCAGATATTGGTAGGAGAAGAAGTAGGAAGGCAAAGAGCCCAAGACCTCCAATGGCAAGGCTCCGCCCGTGTACTCCTCCGTTCGTCGGAGGCGCATTCTCTGCCAGCGATCGTACCAATCAGGGCGAATGTCCCAGAAGCCATCGTCCGAATCAGACTCAAGAGCCCTCTCTTCCTGCTCAACCAGCTGAATGAAGTTCGCGAGAGGTTGCCCGGCTAACAGCATGGCCCGCGTGGGCTGTGGCTGATGCAACGACTCAGTCTCCCACGCCGCTGTTTGCATAAAGTGAACCACATCCTGAGCCGACGTGAGCAACGTCTTGCCTCCGGAGTACTCCATCGTGTCATTAATGTCTACTGTCAAAGACGAAGCAGGATCCTGGTTGATGGTCGAGACTTTGCAGACGAGATCGAACGCAGCAGGGCAGGCAACCAGATAAGAACCCGGAAGAAACTGCTCAAACGCATGTCCCGTTGCAGAAAAAAAAAAAAAAAATCGATGCCACATGTGGGTTCTGTTACTGAAATTCACATACGTTGCACCATCCTCATCAGTCCTGGCCGCAACGAAATGATGGTTGTAGGCCAGGACATACTTTCCCGGTTCCTGGAGGAACTGCGTCCATGTTGCCGGCAGCATGCTGTGCCTTGTAGCTTCAGCTGCATGGAGACGTTCTCACACAACAAAATAGAAATCCAACTAAAACACGTGCTTCAACGCAAGGACAGCACAACTATTGAGGTATTCACACCATTTCAATCGGTCGTCGAGTTGCCCAGATGGCTCGAGCCAGGCGTTGCCATCTCGAACCTTGAAAGGTCCATCTCGCGTGTATGACACTTTGTGGCCGAGAGCTCGCAGCGCATCCACCAAACAGCAGTCATGGAAGTGACGGTCATTGTGTGCATCACCTTGGCTTTGTCAGAAACCGTTGCAGCTTCCCACCAACGCCACTACCCAACCTCCAGCCCACATCCCTTCAACCTCACACAGTCTCGCCAGCACACAGCTCAGCTTGAGCTTCTTTCCCGTTCGTGCGCACGCTCCTACAAGGAGCTATGCACATGTCCAGAAGGATCAATCAACATCGCATAGACCAAACTGCAAAGCATATTCTCCTGAGGCAAAACGCGTGGAGGCATGCCTGGCCGTTGAATGCTCCTGCACAGAAACTAAAAGGTAGCTACTAGGCACGGGCGGTAAGCTGCGGTATGACTGCGTCAGGAGCGTCCTTCGGTGCTGCTGACTGCGACAGCCCCTGCTCACGAAGCCATGTCGGCCAGCTCTGACGAAGCCACTTCTCACTGGCATTTCGGTGACGGATCTTCTGCGTCAGCGACTTCACGAAGTTGTCCCCTGACCATAGCTGCATGGCTTGCTGGGTTAGGCTGCAGAATGAACTTATAGCTGTAGCAGAGCGGCAATAGCCGACTTCGCACCACAGTCCCGCCGATCCACGGGCGGTGTGCTTGGAGCCGAAGTGAACGTTGGTCCCTCGCAACAAAGCTCACATTGTGTCGCAACAACACGGGCAGTTGCTGGTCAGCTCAACAGCTCAACCTATCTGAGCTCACTGCAATCCGCGGTGTGCTTTTGCCAATTGTTTTGCGACGCAATGTAAAACTCGGGGTAATCTTCGTCGGTCAAAACTGCAACGTGGCCGAGGCGGTGCCAGATTGGCATCATGAAGTGATCGCCTTGCGTTGCAGGGATTACTCGTGCACTCGTGGCGGCCAATGCTACAACTGTAAAGAGTTACGAGTCGTGATGCGCAGTCAAGACACACCATGTTCGCATTGCCGGCTGGAGCTCTGTGTCTTCTGAGAATGTCCTTAGAGTCACGAGCAGTGCAGTGCTCTAGTGAACATATACTTTGCATCTGAGTCTGCGCTTGTGCGACATGTATGTTCGCTAAGCTAGGTAAGATAAGAAGCACCGCCGCCGAAAACGCTGCCTCTGCAGTGGCAGGTGTCCCACAAGCAGCAATCACTGTGGTTCGCGTGTCTTCACCGGTTAAGGTATGTCACTTCGCCTCCTGCTCCATGGCCACAGAGACCAAGCAGCAAGGCCTCTTTCGACAGAGGCAACATGAAGGATTACAGTTTCTTAAAACACTCTTTGACTGCGTAAGGTCAGGACTCGGACTCGCGTCGGCTTGGCTCCGACATTTCCTTCTCATGGTGCTCCTCCAACCGTCTCTCCTCTGACCTCCAGTGATCTGGTGTTCCTGTTGTTATGCAGGTACAGAACTTTTTTTAAACTAAGGCTGAAGCTGTGACAGATTTTGTCGATGGCGTCGCGGCATCAGGGGCTGTTTGTTTTTGGGCTTGTTCCCCTGCAAATGTTCAGGCCGCTGGTAATACCCCAAAGATGTCGGACCTTTGCCGAGCGTCCAGTGGAAGGTCGGCGGTCCGGGCGGAGGGTGGCAGATGCCTCTCCTGCGCCCGCGACCTCCGTATCCGGGAATGAGTACCAGGCCCTTCTGGCCACCCTTGTAGCGTCGCACAGCTCCGCGGTCAGTCATCGTGAGAGGTGTAAGTTCTGCCCAGCGGGTATTTGACGATGTTGTTCGAAGAGGATGCACACCTGCATTGCCTCAAATAACAACCACAACTCTCGCTTTTCTCTGTAGGAGGACATGCTCAGCTCCTTATAAATTATCTGGCCTGAGTAGCTCGGTCGTTGCGGAATGTCGGCGGGCATGGCAAGAGACTCTTTCTTGCCTTTGTGCGCAAGCAGTATCAAACCTCTCGGAGATGAGATTAATGAGATAATTGCCTCTTAGAGCCTTGTTATCAAGCGCAGAAAGCAAGTGCTGCTGGCGGGCGTACGAAAACCCAGGAAGCTTCTTCGAGGAGGCGAGACTCCACGGCTTTCATGAAGCGATCACCTGAAAGAGACAGCGCTGTTGAAAGGAAAACTCTTGTGAGCACAATGCAAGTGCTTCAGATGGCTGACATCAGGTTTCCATCCAATTATGCAGCCCGGGCTGCACCACGCACCGGGAACGCCGGTTGCCACCGTGCAGGGTGGGCTTATCTCGGCGGAACCTGTGCACAAGGTTACGCTGGAATGAAGCGCACTCAATGCTCAGGTCTTTCGCTTAAGCTTGGGAAACACCATGTGCCAAAAGGTGCCTGGGCTCGGTGAGGTCGTCGATGCTGTCGACATCATTCTGTCAAACCAAAATCGTTCGCCTGATGATCTGAAACACCCACCTCCCGAAATTGTATTCAGGCAGGCTGCATTCGCAAGTACCGTCAACGAAAGGTTCAGCCAAGTCACGTAAGCAGTGCACGAAGTGCGTATGTGAACTCAAGACCAGCTCAAGCCGAAACTGATAAGCATGTGAGCTTGCATATCATCCTATTGTCAGACATGGCCACAGCGACCTGCACTCGGTGCTTCGTTGATATATGTGGAAAATGACGTGCATTAACAGCAATTGCATGCCAAGCAGTGAGCCGGCCTGCTCAGTCTGCAGCATGTACACGGGCCTGCCACATCATTACAAACTCCTTTCGACGCGCGTCTGGCGTGTGCTGCTCCTACTTGTGAACTCGCAGCGTAAACCACTTCGTCCAGCCGACTATATTAATCTCGAGTGGATGTCAGCGCATGTTTCTGTTGATATGCATGTCCTGACAAATGCCCACCTGCACCCCTTGCCCTGCAGCCTGTCCTGCCAGATCACGTACAACAACGATTCAATATCACTGCGTTGTGTACTCCTACCACGCGCTTCTATCACTCCTGCATCAACATGCGCAGGCCTGGTTGGCATCGACTTTGCAGATTCCGACCTCACGGGCGCAAAGTCTCTAGACTCTAGACGTTCTTCTATCAACCCCGTACTATGCCAAGCCGCACGTAGTGTTCACGAGCTATTGGAATGCAGTGCTCTGGTATCGTAGGCTCGAGATCTAAGCAGGCTTCAGGACAGCCAAATTCGCGGACCCCTACACGGGAAGAGCGGAAAGAGTGGTGGTCACTTATGTGCAAACTGCATGCTCGTATACTGATCGACGAATCAAACTGTCTGCACGTGTGAAGTAGACTGAATTCCACGAACAACCTTTATTTGTTGGTAGACGTCCTGCTGGTAAACTGATCGTCCGAGTATACGGGGCAGTTAAGCATAAGACGGCCCAATTTCCGGTAGCACCTCGCCGGAAAGGCCGGTCAGGGATACAGCCGCATTAGAGGAGAGAGCAACAGCTTCGAGCCGTGAGAGGCGGTTTCTTCGCTACCAGTGTTCATTGTGTCTTAGACACGATTGTGATCAAGGACGCCTAAACGTCGCTGAGTGTTCGCGGCGTATATCACAAGCCAGCCATTACAGAAACATAATTCCGCCGAGCCGATGACATCAGCAGTATTAGACACCAGCACTTGCGAGCAGTTACAGAACGACCACCGACACGAATCTATCACCTGCCAATGTAGCGCATGCGGCGCATGCAAGACTTTGCCAATGGCATCCGCTACCAATGCGACACTCGACCAGTCGTGTCTTCAAATGCCGCTCAAATGCCTAACGGAATGATCTGTTTCCTAATCTCTCGGGACCATTGTTAGTTGCGGAGAGCTACAGAACGACCACCGACACGAATCTATCAGCTGCCAATGTAGCGCATGCGGTGCATGCAAGACTTTGCCAATGGCATCCGCTACCAATGCGACACTCGAACAGTCGTGTCTTCAAATGCCGCTCAAATGCCTCACGGAATGATCTGTTTCCTAATCTCTCAGGACCATTGTTAGTTGCGGCACCAAGTGATTGCGAGGACTCTGCCACGACCCCCTTCTCGTGCACTGTTAGTCAATCAATCATTCGTACACGGAAACATGTTTGCAGGACTTCAGCGCTACTCATAGTAACAGCAGTTGAACCTGCGCGACCCCCCAGCTGCAATTCTTGCCCAGGAGCGGCCATCCAACCCCCTAGCTGCACCACAGTGCCCAAGAGCGGCTGGATCAGCAGGAAGCACTAATAGCTTAAAGCGCCTGTTGAAGGTGTCTGCACAGGACGATAACTAGGCTAGCTCAGTATACAGTTTTAGCTATAGAATGTTACATGGCATAAAACGCCAAGTAGACACCCTTATCCGCAAGTGAAAGCAACCGACGTGGTTTTGGAGACTTTGGTGAGAACAGCGCATACGCCTCCAAATCCCTTGGCCTTTGGTCCAAAACCAGAGAAGTGAAAGTAGCAGACGCGATTTTCGAGGCTCTGGGCCCCAAACAAAAGCAACAGATGTGGTTGCGGAAGCCTTAATCCTCAACAAAAGCAGCAAAGGCATTGAGAAACCACCTAATCCCACGTGGCAACAATTGAGACAAAACTATTTCTCTTGCGACCGATCTGAGTCTGAAGGTGTTGCGATTGGAAAAATTTACGAGGTCGGGTTCGGAGCGGAAAACACCTGCTTCAAAAGGGCTAGCCTCACCTTTAAAGCTTTCACCTAACAAGACACCAAACGTCAGTTAGTCACTCTCAGACTCCGAGGCCTCCTGCTTAAGCTTGCGCCTTTTGGCGCAGCTGTGCTCAGCTGAAACTTTGGTAATCAACCCGGCTTTCATCCGGGCATACTGCTGGCACGCGCGGCATTTCCCATGCTCCAAGGGAACACGCTTCA